CCAAGCCTCCGTTTACGTAGCGTGGGAATCGGGGCTGGCCTCTGGGCCTGTTTCCTTAACTGCAAAATGGGGTTAATAATCGCTATCGGTTTCCTACGACTGTGGTCGTTATTCCAAGGGATGACCTATGGGAAGATATGAGACTGGAAAATACTAACAGAGAATGAGAGATGGTCTCTTTAGACTCTAGATCCGAGAGACAGCGGAAGTAGCATGGGGACCCAATTGTATACAGACTTCCCATTTGGCTCACAGTAGGGAGGCTGAATGACGCACCTTGGCTTAACGTTTCCTCCCTGAACCTTGGTTTTCCCAATTATATTTATCTTTTTTTTTAATTTTTAGTTTCCTCAGTTCTAAATTGGTAATAATAATAGGAGAGGTAATATCTCGTAATTGTGAGGATTAAACAAAATCAAGCCGGTTAAGGATTTAACAATTGGGCTGGAATATGAACCTGTTACTATCTAATAGACCTTTAGGCTTTGGGTATTTGCGCATTGAATAGAATCAGGAATGTATAAGGTGTGATCTTTAAAGTAAATAACCGAAGAAGGGCAAGAAGTCAATGAAACACCCCTTTAAAATCGCCTCATACAGTAATATATCAAAGAACTTAAGTCTTAGGCTGAAATACTACATTTCCCAGGAATCTCTAGGAGCCTCTATCGCTCAAGCACCCTGTGGCTGCTGACGTCTCAAAAAACGTGTACGTGCAGGCAGCCGGCGTACGTCATGGCGGCCAGACGCTTATTCGGGGCTACGCGGACCTGGGCTGGCTGGCGGCCTCGGGAGCTCCCGGACCCCGCCGCTCCTGGAAGACTCCTCGTCCGGGATTATGCCAAGAAACCAGGTGAGCTGGGTTAAGAGAGACCAAAATGGGAACAGTGAGGACATTGGGTAATTTGCATTGCGCAGGCGCTGGTTGGGGAGGTGGTTCTTAGAATCAAGGCACCCGCGGGAAGTGGCCTGCCGCTAGGTTTTACGCGCAGGCGCAGTTTGAGGGACGTAGGGCTCAGTTGGACTCTGAGCAGGCACCAGCCTGAAGCTGAGCAGCCAGGGACGGCCGTGTGACTTACGTGGAGCAGACGCGCTTCACTGCGCAGGCGTGGGTTTGTTTTCTTGGGGAGCGGGGGAGGTGGGGTAAGGTCAGGAACTTGCTTCCCAATCCTGTTTCTTCCCCTAAATGACTGTGTGACCCTTTGCATGTCATCACCAGAAATTCGAGGAGTCCAAGTATTGACCACTTAAGCAAAACCAAAACAAAGTTATTTGAATTTTAGCTGGATACCACCATGCCTGATCTTTGTTGAAAGAAGGAATTGCCAAATATATGTTAGGTCTTAAAGAGACGTAGCAGCACTTTCTTTGTGAGATAAACAGAAAGAATCAAAACAGAATTGAAAAGGAGTGACTTGGTCACTCGGAGCATCATTGTTATTTACTGCAGTATCCATGTCCAACTTAAAAATCATTTGAGTGCTGTAGACAGGGGCCAGCCAGGGCCTGGGGCCACCCTGAGAGACTAGGGACAGGGAAGGAAGGCTGGCCTCCAAAGGGTGGCGCTGGGCTGAACCGGGCTGAACTCTTACCTCCTCCCCACTCCAGTCCTTAAGGGGGGCAAAGGCGGCAAAAGCGGTGTGGTCAGTGATGTCCTGAAGGACCCAGAGGTGTGCACAGACCCTGTCCGGCTCACCACGCATGCCATGGGTGTTAACATCTACAAGGAGGGCCAGGACGTGGTCTTGAAGCCGGATGCCGAGTACCCCGAGTGGTGAGTGGGCCAGGCTGGAAAGTGAGGAGGAGCCTGCCTGATCAGATCTGAGGTTTTGGGGAGGACTTCCCTCGGGAGGCAATGCATGAGTGAAGACCTGAGTGGGTGCAAGGGAACAGCCAGTGCAAAGGCCCTGGGGCAGTATTGTACCTGGTTTTTAGGGACAAGGTGGAGAGCAGGGGTAGATAGGGCAGGGAGGTCATGGAACCCAGTCCTGCCAGGGCCTGGGGGCTGCAGGGATTTCAGTTTTGCACTTAGCCTTGAGATCATTAGCAGAGCATGGAAACCACTGACAGTTGCTGATCCTTAAAGCTGGGGAAGGTGCAGAAAGGTTGAGTGGGAGGGGAGGCATTACAGGTGCACAGCATGGACAGTGGCCAGGAGGCAGGAGAAGACTTGGCATGTGCCCACCTCAGACATCAGCACTATTGGGATGGAGGTGCCCCCTTGTTCCACAGCCAGAAACCTGGCTCAGGGAAGGTGAGGGAGCACCCTGAGATCACAGCCCAGGGACCCAGATCTGCCAGTGCCTCGGCATTGCCTCTGCCCAAGGTATCTGGGGCCCAGGAGTTGTGGATGGCTGTTGGGCAGCCCTGATTCCTGCCCGTACCCCATCAGGCTGTTCCAGATGAATGTGGGCCCCCCCAAGAAGCTGGAGGAGCTGGACCCTGAGTCCTGGGAGTACTGGCGGCTGCTGCGGAAACACAATATCTGGCGCCACAACCGGCTGAGCAAGAACCGAAAGTTTTAGTGGAGGAGGGACTGAAGCACCCTGACTCACCAAGGACCTCGCCAGGCCCCCGAGGAGGACCCCAGAGGGGCACAACACCTCCCCATCCTGCCCCATGAAAGACTTTTCCTGGAGAAAACAGACTTTTGCTTACCTGTGTTCTTTGTGGCCTCCACAGTGAAGCTGGGTCATGGCCATGGGGACCAATAAAGACCTCTTGGGGGGTTGTCATTGGCAGGTCCTGGATGCTACTCAGTGCTGTGTGATGTTGGGCCATTGGGAAGTGGAGCGTGTGGCAGGGAGGTGGGCACCTCCTCAGACACAGTGGTTCCTAGTCATTGGCTGGGCTTGTGTAGGTCCATCTTCGCCTCCAGGCTTCACTGGGCTTCTTAGCCTGATTCCTGGAATTCTAGCACTGCCCAGGAAGCCTCAATCCCTCAAGTGGGAGGTTTTTTTACCAAGACTTCTCTTGGTTGCAAGGGATTCAAACCTGACTCAAGCGGTGTGCAGCAGAACAGAATTTTCAGCTTCGGGAACTGAACTGCCCAGGGGTAGGGTTCGCTTCAGGCATGGTTGGATCCAGATGCTTCCATACTCAGCTGTGTGGCTCTCTTCTCCCTCTGTGTCCATTTGACCCCCAGTAGGTAGGTCTCTAGGGCAGGGGTGGCTCCAGGGCTCCTGACTGACACCCTCCTACCCAGTTCAGCGAGCCTTGCCAGATGGAAGGGCTTTCCCTTTCCTTCCTGCCAAGGTCACAGGGGTCATCTTCATTGGCCACTCACGTGAGCCCAGGGACACAGGCCTACCAACCATCCTGGAGTGTACATGGGGTACGTGAACATGATCCACAGCCCCAGTGAGAACCTCAGCTCTGGGTGGCCCTAACTCCTGCCCTGCCTGGCTGTGAGGGCTGGATCTCCAAGACAGGGTCCAGGGGATGAGGCCCGTGCCCACCAGATTGGAGGAGGTGGGGGCGGGAATCCACTAAGCAGTACCTGTGAGGTCCCACCCTCCCTGCTGTGGCCTCAACCTCTCCTTCAGAGATGGGGTTGGAGGGTTGGCACCACCCTCAGCCTCTGGGTCCACATGCTGGCTGGGGAGGGTGGGGTCCCCACAGCTAATTCTGCCTGGTCCCAGGAAAAGGAGCCTTTATCAGCTTGGGAGGACTTTGCCAAGGGGATTATTGAAAACCTACCCTCCCAGGTGGCCCGCCCTGGGCATGCGGCTTATCCCAACACTCCCATGACTCACCCTTAGGGTAAAATCAAAGCTGTAACTTCCATAGGCCCTGCCTGCCCTGCCCCCATCGCCTCCCTGCCCTCACCTCCCTCTCACTCTCACTCTGCTCCATGTGGCACAGAGGCTCCTCGATGCTCTTCCAATACCCCTCTGGGTTCTGCCCCAGTGCCTTTGCACTTGCTATGCCTGTTGCCTGGGTCGCTCTCCCCCAGGTGTCCCCATGGCTCCCTCCTTCACCTCCTCCAGTGTGTGCTCTGAGTTCACCTCCATGAGCCCTCCTTCACCACCATATTAAACTGCAGCACCTGCCACTCCGTTTGCCCTTCCCAGTGTTGTCCTCCCTAGCATTTACCACCAGCTGGCGTTTCATGTTTTATTTATTTTTTAATTGTGCATCTTGTCTCTCCCACTGGAGTGGCTCATTAGGACAGGAATTTTTATCTGTTTTGTTTAGTGTTGTGTCCCTATCGCTTACTGGATTTTTGTTGTTGTTGTTGCTGTTGTCATTAATCCTCACCCTAGAATATTTTTTGAAGATATTTTTCCATTGATTTTTAGAGAGAGTGGAAGGATGGGGGAAAGACAGAGAGACACATCGCTTGGTTGCCTCCCAAACAGGCCCTGACCGGGGCCAGGGATCAAGCCTACAACCAAGGTACATGCCCTTGACCAGAATCAAACCCGGGACCCTTTAGTCCTCGGGCCAATGCTCTATCCACTGAGCCAAACCGAGGGCCCTATTGCTTACTGGATGAACGGATGGATGAATTAGTGAAGTGAGTTGACAGAACAAATGCTGGCCCACCAGTGCCCCATCCCACCCTCGCTGGGCTGGGAGATGTAACAGGGTCTCTGGTCAATGGGGACATAAGCCACACTCTGAATCATGGAGGGAACAAGGATAAGGATGGACAGTATTTGCCTAGCCTCAGCCTAGTTCTCTCTTAGGCCCGGCCTGGGTCCAACTGCTTCCAAAGCCAGCAGGGACCCAGTGATGCCTGGGGCAGTGGAGTCAGGCAATGCGTGAGTCCCTCTCGGCTTTGTGGCCTCAGGGAACTGGCTTCCCATCTCAGTTACCCCCCTGTAAAATGGGGCTGACCCTCACCTGAGGGGCTCGGGCCAGGAGCACACCGTGAAAGGAAGCAGCTGGGCATGAGCTGCTCTGCTGTTAGTTATTTCTCGGAGAGGGAGGCCCTGAGAGCTGGGTGGCTCTGCTGGTGAAAGATTAGCAGGGTTTTAGATTCAGTGACGAAGAATTCAGGTCCTGGTGGCTCCCGATTCCAGCCTTACAGTCTCAGAGTCTCCGAATCCACCCACCCACACACCTCCCTTAGACGGGCCGCTGAGGCCCAAGGAGGGGCAGAGATGCCCTCGAGGCCACCCAGAACCCGCCTCGCCTCCCTGGCCTGAAAGTCCTATGGCCGCCTCCTATCCAGTCTCCCGGAAAGGCAGGGTGCGGCGGGGTGCGGACCTGGCATGGTGGCCACAGACGGAGGGTGGGGATGGGCAGCCTCCTTCCTCATTGATAGACCGGCCTGCTGGTGGGCTGCTCCGTGACCTTGGCCGAGATCTGTCACCCCAGGCCCTCGGGACTGGCCGAAGAGGGAGACTGGTCGGCACCAGGCTCAAGCCGATGGCCAGGCCCTGTCCAGAGCCTGTGCGTGCTCCTTGGCCAGAAACCGAATGGATGCCTCCTCCAGAGTGAAGCCTTCCATGAAGGCCGGACCAAAGGCGTGAGGCCCGAAGGATGCCTGCAGCCCTGGGGCTGGGCCCAGGAGGTGAGTGAGGCCTGGCCTGGTAGGGGGCCCGGGGCCCAGCCAGGGCTCCAGAGGCAGTGGAATGGTTGGAGGGCGGGCAAAGGGCAGTGCTGGGGCCCCGGGGAGCCTCGAGGCTGCCACAGCCCCAGAGCCGGACTCCAGACGCTCCTGGCGCCGCCACTTGGCCCGACGGTTCTGGAACCACACCTGGAAGCAGCAAGAGGGTGCTTCCAGCCCAGAGCAGTGGGGAGGCGTCCCTCCCGGGCCTCCGAGCCTCGCAGGTTCTGCCTGCTGTGGGACCTGACTCCCTCCCTGCTGCAGGGCCATGTTTTTTATTCTGCTTCAGGGCTGTCCGGAGAGAAGAGGCCCTGCCTCACGGCCCCATCACATCACCTAAGTCTGTTCTGAACCTCATTCCTCCTCCCCGTTCTCTTTAATCAGGCCCCTCCGGTCTTCCCTGGCCTTCGATCAGGAAGTGCCAGCTTGGCTCACAAGCTCTTCCTCAGCTTCGTTTTCCGGCTCGCCTTCCACCCCCCTCCCCCGCTCAACGGGAAAACTTCTAACTTAACCCTGCACATCCTTGCGCATGCTGTTTGGATGCCTAGAGAGATGCCCCTTCTCCTTTCTAGCAGGCAAACTCCTACTCAGATGTCATAGCCCCAGGCCCAAATCCCCTCCTCCGGGCGGCATCCCATGCACTGGGAGGGCCCCTATCGGCTCTGGCTCCCCCCCTGGGTCATTGAGGGCTGCCCTCACCTGCACCCGCACCTCCGGTAGGTGCACCTTGGCCGCCAGCTCCTCGCGGCTGTAAATGTCCGGGTAGTGGGAGGCCTCGAACGCCCGCTCCAGCTGGTGCAGCTGGTACGTGGTGAAGGTGGTGCGGTTCCTCCGGTGCTGCTTCTTGGGGGCCTCCTCACAGGGGGCCGGCCCCCCACCCTCAGCCGCAGGCCCCTCACCAGGGCTCAGGAACATGGCTCCTCCTCGCCGCCTCCTGGTGGTACAGCAGGACAGAGGGTGGTGAGGCCGCAGGAGGGACTGCCAGCTGGGAGGGCAGGGGACCCCCAGGACCTGCTGGGTGTGGAGTATGATGTGAAGGGGCTCTTCCCTCACAATGTCCTAAATCCGTTCTATCGGTTTCAGATGATCTCATTTTCTCCCTCTGTCTGCACTTCCTCTGACTTTTCTGTCCCCCACCTCGTTTCCTCTTTCCCTTGGAGCTCTCCCTGACTTCCTCTCGCTCTGTCTTCATCTTTCTGTGTGTCTCCCTCTGTGTCTAGACCCCCAGGAAAGCTGGCTGGGACACTGCTCCTACTGCTTCCTCACCCCCAAGTCCTCTGCCTGGTGGGCTCCCTGCACCCCCAGCTCCCCCCACGCCTGCCTTGCTCACCTGCTCAGCACGCACCACCCCTAGCAGCCCCTCTTCAGCCCAGGTATCCACAGGCCCAGTGGCCGGGCCCAGCCAGCGCTGGGGGTGGGGGGAGGATTAGTACAAGGTGATTAATTGAGGTGGCCCCTTCCATCTGGCTGCGCTGAGCCGCTGAGGGAGGAGGGCCAGGCAGGCGGAGGACTGGGGAGGGGCTGGTGTTGAGGTGTTGAGGGGACACTGTGGACCTGGGTCCTCCTCCCCTTGCAATAGGACAGCAGCAAGGGCCTCCCAACCTCTGGGTCTGTTTTCCTGGCTGTAAAACATGGACACCAGGACCTGCCTACCCCTGGGCTCTCACTGGGACTCAGTGAGGAGATTAAAGGATAGGGCGCCGCACAGTGGTGGGCGCGCAGTGAGTGCGCAGTGTCTGCTGTTCCTGGTTTTACCAGAGGGGGCAGAAGAGGGCCCTTAGACTCACATGTCAACGGAGCTGGGGAAGCAGAGGTCCCAAAAGGTGAAGGCAACTTTAGGGGGCTCCTTGGACCCTGAGCAGGGCTTGGCCTAAGGGCCCTTTAGCTGGGTTTGAGGTTTGAATAAACATTTATTGAGCACTTAATTGTATACCAGTGAACAAGACAGACACAGATCTTGGAGCTGACATCCTAGTTGGGAGATGACCAGCGGCTATAACGTAAAATATAGTGTCAGGTGGCTAGAGGTCTAGAGAGAAAACTCCAGCAGGACAGGGAGGGGGCTACACGGGGTTGCTCTTTAAGGAAAGTGATCAGAATGGGGATGAGGGCAAGGCTGCAATTCTGGACAAGATGGGTGTGAAGGGGAGGGTGCCAGGGAGCCATGGGAGGTTGTGGAGCAGGGAAGGGACACAGGCAGACGGTATTTTGGACGAGTCCCTGCTTTGGAGATGGGAGGAGGATGGGGATGTCACAGAACTGGTGGCCTGAGAGCTGGAGCAGGGTCCAGGGGACGACCCTGAGACTGGTTGCCAGCCCTCCCAATCCAAGAAGCCTGGGGGCTCAGGCAAGGGTGCCCTGGAAACCCCGAGGAGGAGGGGTCTGGGAATGGGGGGCCAAGGTGAGGCCTGAAAATCGGTTGCTGGATTTAGTGGAGGCCCAGGCCCTCAGATGGCCTGAGGAGCGAATACAAGAGAAAGCAGAGATCTTTCTGGAACATTGGCTTTGTAGGGAGAGACACACATGGAGACAGAGACAGTGTCAGGCACCCCCCCCCCCCGCCCCAGAAAAGGGGTGACGTCCCCGGAGGAATCAGGTCCCACTGCAGGGACCAGTGGCCTTAGAGAAGGAGCCGGCTGGGGCTCCGTGTCTCATGCGAGGGCCGAGATCAGGAGGCCGAAGAGGCCCCAGAGGTCGTGAGCCCAGGCTGCCGGGGGCGGGGGGCGAGAGGGGGAGCTACTGTTCCCGGCCCTCCCAGGACTCAGCCGGCCAACTAGGAGTCAGGCTCTGGGCTCGATGGCCGGGGAGCCGGCCTGCGGGGCCGGCAGGTAATCCCCTTATGCAGTGGTTCTCAACCTTGGCTGCACATTAGAATCACCTGGGAATCTTTTTAAAATCCTGATTTCCAGGCCTCATCCTCTGGAAATTCTGTTTCTTTGTTACTAATGCTGTGGCCCCACCCCATAACAAAGAAACAGAATTTCTGGAGGACGAGGCCTGGAAATCAGGATTTTAAAAAGATTCCCAGGCGATTCTCATGTGCAGCCAAGGCTGAGAACCACTGGTCTAATGGCTTCATCACTTTAAAACGTTAACAAGCTGCTCGGTTCTCAGGCCCCAGTTAGCTACTTGGCCCCGTTGGTTAAGAGGCTGCAGAGGGGATCCCGGTCAGGTGCAGGTGCTTCCTTGACTGAGCAGGATGTGGCTGAAGGTGCAGATGCCGTGTCAGCGTGAGGGCGGGATTAGGGTGGGGTGGGGCAGGGCCAGGGACTAGCAGCTCCTCCAGCTGGATTAGGGTGTGTGTGTGTGTGTGTGTGTCACCCGCAGGCCACTCTCTGCCTCTTCAGCCTCCCACCCTTTATTTCTCCCTCAGGAAGAATCGCTGAACCCTTTCAGGTGCTGGTGGGGAAACTGAGGCCAGAAGGTGGGCTGGGCTTCAGGGGGCACCTCAGGGGATCAGTGTAACTTTGGGCACTTTCCTGGCTCAGGTGGGGTGGTCAGCTTAGGTGAGAGGGCATACTGGGCCTAGTGTTCCCTCTCCAGCTTGGGGGGTCCTGGGGTGGGATAGCATCCAGCCTGTCCCCAGACCCTGCCAGCCCTAGAGGCTGTCTGGATGGGAATGTCAGCTGAGATGGGGTAGGGGACAGTCACAGCAATAACTGAGCACCAGCTGTGTGCACTCAGCCCTCACTTTCTCCCCACTCTGGGTCCTTACAACACCTGCCCCCCCAAGATGCCTGATCATAGGTGGGGCCCAACCCCCCCCCCCCCAGTTGGCCTGCCGGGGCCACACAGCTAAGGGGCACATCAAGATATGAACCTGGGGCGCAAGCCCAGGGCCCAGCCCCCGTCACCAGAGAGGACAGGATGGGGAGGGCCTCTGGACAGGCTGCTCAGCTGGGTTTTCTTGAGTCTCCAGGTCACTGGGTCAGACTGTTGGGCTGCGACAGCTGGAGGAAGTGGGTGGTCACACCGGAGCATCCCCGGGGGACACAGCTGCCGTGGCTCCTATACACCTGCTCTGGGGGAAAGTCTCCCATGATCCTTGGAGCCCGAGACCCTGAGGGCTGAATACGGCACCCACAGATGGACCATAGTGGGGACCTGTGGGTGATGGCAAGTGAGTCCACGGGGAGGCTGTGACCTCTGGCCTGGAGAGTCTCCTGGCTCCGTCCCAGGGGTCTGTGTCCCCACAGTGGCTGCCAGTGGGTCATAGCTGGGCAGACCCCTCAGTGGGCAGACGACTGGCAGGTGGACTGTCCTGAGCTGAGTGATGGGGGGCAGTGTGGACCCCCTGGGCCGAGAAGACGTTGCGGGTCGCAGAGAGAGACTCAGAGGCCCACAGTTCTTGGAACCAGTCTTTATCGAGGCACCAATCCTTCTCCTGGGTCTGTGGTATCCAGGGACTGCCCCAAGCCCCCCACAAGGGCCTGCTTCTGTGCTGTAAGCCAGGTGGGCGGCTTGCTGGCCCAAGCCTACTGAGGCCCGGCCGGTGTCCCCACCCTGAGCCCCCCACTCTGTCCTCTGGGGCCATGGCCCCACCAGGCAGGGTCAAGGCTCTTGGCTGCGGGGCAAGGTGGAGCCATCAGCGTCCTGTCCTTCAACATGGCCAGTGGCGCCCGCGCTGCGCAGCTCCCGGGCCAGCTTCTCGGCCAGTTTTCGGAAGGTTGGCCGGCGGGTAGGCTCCGCCTCCCAGCAGCTGTTCATGAGGGTGTGGACAGGGCCTGGGCAGCCCTCAGGGGGCTCCATGCGGTACCCCTTCTCCACAGCCTCTGTCACCTCCTTCAGCGACTGTGGGCAGAGGGCACAGCAGTGTGGGCTGGGGTTCAGGGCTGTGGCCCCAGACCCACATGGAACCCAGTGCCTCCCCCACCCAGGCCATGCTCACCATCTTGGGGTATGGAGCCCGGCCATATGAGAAGACCTCCCATAGCAGCACCCCGAAACTCCAGACATCGGACTTGCTGGAGAATTTCTGTGGGGTCCAAGACCAGGGTGAGGAGGGACCCTTCAAGGTTTCCGCTCCAGTCCCCGATTCTTCCAGGAAGTCCCCCTGGGTTGGCCTGCACTCTCTGGTCTCTTCCTAACAGACTCCATTCCCTGAGTCCTTGCCCCTTTGACCAAGTGCAGCTCAGATGTGGTGCAGGGAGGGGGCTGGTTCTTTGCCCTCAGCACTGAGCCCAGAAATGGAGAAACAGGCCCAGACAGGGTCACACACAGGAGAGACCAGATGGAAACTAAAAAGAACAACGATGGACCACGTACTCACTGGGGAGGCAGAGTCATTTGCCTTGGAGGTTCAGAGGCCAAGACACGTGCCCAGGGTCACACTGTGGAGCTGGGGCTCCCAGGTCCCTGGGGACAGAGGGGCGCTCACCCCATGTTTGAGTGCCTCAGGCGCTGTCCACTTGACGGGCAGTCGGCTGGAGTCCAGCCCCTTCCTCTCAGCCTTGACCAGGCCAAAGTCGCTGACCTTGGCCACGAGGTCCTCAGAGATGAGGATGTTGCGGGCAGCAAGGTCTCGATGCACCAGCTTCTTGCTCTCCAGGTACTCCATGCCCTCGGCCACGTGCCTGGGGGCGGGGGGGCACAGGGGCTCCAGTGAGCAGGTCAAACACCCCCAAGGCCAGGCTCCTTCCTGCGTTTCTCCTTGGCCTTGGAAAGCCCCTTTCCCACCCACCGGGGCCCCACTCACAGGGAAAACTGCAGGAGCTGGGGGGTGTTCACAAGGGCCCGGCCCCGAGTTCGTAGAAAGTTCACCAGGTTGCCCTGGGTGGGGAGGGGAGGGAGACACGGGGCTCGGGTTCGAGGCTTCTTGGCTGCCTCTCCAAGTCCCACCTGCACCCCCACCTGCACTCGGCCCCACCGTACCTTGCTCACGTGCTCCATGACGATGTAGAGTCCCTGGTGCAGGATCACGCCCAGCAGACGCACCAGGTTCTTATGCTGCATCTTCCTGTGGGGAGACAGAAGAGGGGGTGAAGGCGCGGCTGGAACCCCCACCCCCAGGGTGCCTAACCCCCACCAGGGACTCACGTCATGACTGCTGTCTCATCCAGGAAGGCCTGGGCTGTCACATCACACTTGATGTTCTTCACAGCCACCTTCTGGCCCAGGTACTCGCCCTGCAGGACGGCTGGGGGTGGGACGGAGACAGACAAAGGGACACACCCTCTCACATTGACCCCCATGTGCACCAACACAGCTCAGGCCCCAGGCCTGGAAACCCACTCGGCAGTACCAGCTCCGAACCCCTAAACCCTGAGCAAAGAGAATCTAGGGGTCTGCAAACTCTGTCCCGAGGGCCAAATCCAGTCCCATCGTGTGTTTTTGCAAGGACCATGAGCTCAGAATGCTTTTTATATTCTTGTTTGTTTTTATATTCTCAAATAGTTCAAAACAATGTTATTCCATGACACATGAAAATTATCGGGGGGGAAATTCAGTGTCTACAAATAAAGTTTTATTGGCACACAGGCACTCCTGTTGGTTTACCTATCATCTGGGGCGGCTTTCCTGCTACAAATGCAGAGCTGAGCAGATGTGACAGACTGGCCTGTAAAGCCAAAAATATTTGCACTTCGGCCCTTTACAGAGAAAGCCCATAGGTCCCTGACCTAAGCCCTAGAACAGTGATGGCGAACCTTTTGAGCTCGGCGTGTCAGCATTTTGAAAAACCATAACTTAACTCTGGGGCCATGTCACATACAGAAATTTTTTGATATTTGCAACCAGAGTAAAACAAAGACTTATATTTTTGATATTTATTTTATATATTTAAATGCCATTTAACAAAGAAAAATCAACCAAAAAAATGAGTTCGCGTGTCACCTCTGACATGCATGTCATAGGTTTGCCACCACTGCCCTAGAACCTTCCAGAATAATCACTTCAGGGAATGGCATTCCAAGCACAGGACCAGCATGTGCACGAGGTGGAGGTGTGAGGGACTCGCACTCGCTGGGTGTCTGCCTGAGTATTTACTTCACAACAGCTGTTGTCAGCCCCCCTTCACAGAGGAGGAAAGAGACTCTGAGAGGAGTGGTTTGTCTTCAGCTGCCCAGCAAGTAGGTAGTAAATCTGGATGTGAATTCATGTCTGTGACTCCAAAACGTGAACCCCCACCTTCCTTCAGCTCGCCAGGCCACGCCCTACTCACCTCCAAACTCCCCCTCTCCGATTTGCGCTCCCAAGGTCAAATACTGCAGGTCCAGTAACCAGCCAGCTGTGGGGCCAAGACCCGGTCAGAGAGGCAACAGGCTTCCCCAGCCCCTCCCCTCGGGGGCGCCACCTGGGGAGACCAGATGGTGTCCCCCACAGCACCCAGCTGTGGGCACACATTTGGGTGGCTGCTATTCCCAGTAATGGTCCAAAGGGCATGGCTGACACACCCCATTCCTGATACCAGTTCTGTGGTCAAAGGCAACAGAGCCTACCCTTCAGGGCTGCCCGTCTCTCCTACCTGGAGACTGTGTCCCTTTAAATACCACAAGGGCTGGTCCCTTTACGGTTCTTAACCTCTGGCCTCCCAGGGACACACACACAGAGCAAAAATGCAATAGACACGGAGAACAGTAAAGCTTCTGGAATCTTAGAAAGATTCCTGTGCTCTAAGTCATAATCTGTGCTCTGGCCTCCCTGACCTCTTGTCTCAGGCCAGTGTTCTCCTTCTCTAATGCAGGCCTCCTCCCCACCCAAATCAGGAGCCCTTAGGCACGATCGGGCGTGGCGACACCACCCTCCACCCGCGTGCCGTCCCCAAGATGTCCCCAGGAGAAATACATGCTTCCAAGGAGACAGCCATGATCATGAGGTTCAAAAGACTAGGGGTGGCTGTAGCTGGGGGCCTTTGCTTTGGGACTTGGGTATGGATGATTTCACTACACAGAAGCTGGAAAAGCATTTCAGCTGAAGGGAACAGAATGCACAACAGCACGGAGGCATGAGAGGAAATGAGTCACAACCAAGAGGGCTTGTGAATGGAGGAGGAGCCCTGTAGATGAAGTAGGAAAGAAGGCTCAGCCACAAGGGGAGGTTCTGGAAGGCGGTGGGGCTGCGGGGCCTCCGGCCTTTAAGCAGGGGAGCGATGTGGGTGGGCTTGCAGGTAGAAAGTTGCCTTTGGGACCAGAGGGGCAGGGGGCAGGAGGAAGCGGGGACTGCCCCCCTGGAAGGAGGTGGCCTGATGGGAGGCTCTGAGAGGCCAGGAGGGGGCATGAGGGGAATGTGGGAGGGCAGGCGGGTTGAGGTTTGGGCCAGGTTTCTGGCTCAAGTGACAGGGCAGATGATGGGGACGTGGGAGAAGCAGCAGATGTGGAAACCCACTCCACATGGGCAGAGCGGGCGCAGGCCCCTACCCTTGGCCAGCTCTTCCTCCGCCGACTTAGCCCCCTGCTTCCTCTTGGGTTTCACGAGTTTCGTGCAGATGGCCCCCTTGTCCTTGCTGTAATGCTGCAGGGTGGGGTGGGGCAGAGGTGGCTGTGAGTCCAACCCCAGGGACCAGCATGTGCCAAGGGGCATCCCTCATCCTGTTCCCTTCCTGGGGGTGGGCTCTGGGTAGGGTGGGCCTGAGCCGATGAGGAGAGGGGTTTGGTTCCCACATGATGTGTTGGGCTGGTTTCCATGGGGATAGGAAAGATGCAAGCTAGCGCGGAGGGGAGGATGGCAGCGGTGTCTCTGGAGGAGCCATCCAGTCCCTGGAATTGGAACCCAGAGAGCTCAGACCACCTATATGGCTGGTGGTCCATGAGGACCAGCTTCTTCTTGCATTGGGGAGCATGTGGCTCTGGGGGTCCCCCTGTCCATCCAGCTGCTGGGATGGGGCAGGGCCTGGGGAACACGCGACTCCTGTCCGAGCTGCACCTCTACCATATCCATGAGGTTGCAAAAGCAGATGGTCTCGTCGATGGTCAGGTGGCCATCTCGGTGCAGAACACGGTAGTGGATGACGTCGCGGTGGAAGCTCACGCACAGCACGTAGTCCCCGGGATGCCGCACCGACTCCCGCACCAAGAACAGCCCATCCTCGGGCGGCTGCAGCAGCTGCACCGCCTCCTGGCCCGAGATCTTTCCGTGGAACCACCTGCAGTGGCAGGAGGGCGGGTTGGGCCGGGCGGCCGGGCCCTCTGGATCCCTCATCCCTGGGCCAACCCCACCACTCACGGCATGAGGCTGAGCTTGGGATCCGCTGAGAGGGCCTCCCGCTCCCGCAGCGCACCCGCCGCCAGCAGCCCCTCCTGCCCGCTGGCGTGGTGCTTGGCTCGGTACCAGCTCTTGCTCTGCCAGGGAGGGAGACAGGGGTCGGTATCAGGGGGAGGAGTATGGGGGCGTTCCTGACTGAGACCTATCTCCAGGCCCTCTGGCCACGGCTCACCTCACAAGCCTCCAGGATGGTGACCATGTCGCCCTTGTGGAAGGCCAGCTCTCCAGGCTTCGGGCGCGTGTGCTCACACTTGGTGATGCATTGGGTGCCTGGGGCCCAGCGCCTCTGGGTGGGAGGCACAGGGAAGAGGGCCAAGGTGACATGAAGGAGATGCCCCAGGGAGAGGAAGATTGGATTGAGAGCGGAGAGAGAGGGAGAAGAGGAGATAAGACAGGGGAGCAGCCAGCAGAGATATATTAGTCACAAACAGAGGGCACCCAGGACAGGTCAGAAAGAAAAGGTGAAGGAAATGCAACACCAAATGACAGCAAAGCCGGAAGACATCAGCTCAAGGGGGCGTGGGTCAGAGTACATCCTCCCTCCCCATGGAGTTGAGGGCCTGTGGACTTGGACTGAGCTGAGCAAGGGCCAGGGATACAGGCATCCAGGTTGGGAGTACTCACTGTGGGCATCCTGACTGAGATGGGCCGGAGTGCCAGGCCTGGAGAAAGCCAGGGTTCACCTGGAGAGGGGGCAGAGACCAGCTGGAGGGCAGATGCAAGCCAGGCTGGGGCTCGGGGGCCATCACTACCACTGCCAGCCAGGCCGGGTGGAGGCAACAGCCAGAGGCATGGGGGTGGGGGGGTTATAAATACTGGTTCTCCAGGCCCCTCTGGGAAGGTGGTCTTTACGGAGGGTCGGAGGGTCGTTCCTTAGCTGAGTCAAAGCCATTAAACATCAGTGACGAAATCGGGGAGCCTAGCCCTACCATTGTTCCCAAAGGAAACTGAGGACCAACATGGGCACAGAGCAAGTGGCCACAGGCCGGGGCAGAGGGACACGCCTGGTTCAGGCCCCCACAGCCCACAGGCGCCTGGGGAGCTCAGTGCCACCTCATCACGCCTGGTTCTTCCTCTTTTCTGGAAGAGCAGGGCAGGGAAATACGGAATGATTCAAGGTCATTGCCAAGAAACTCTGACCCTACAGTGGGACAGTGCAGCCCTGCTGAGCTCGCGGGGCTGGCCAGCTGGACCTCTCTAATCCCTCTACCCCACCGCCAGTCCCTCATTGCTGCTTGGGTGAGGATTTTCCCACCCCTACCTCCCCCATCGACCCCACCACAGGTGGCTGGGCCCGTGGGGGCGGGTTCCAGGGTAAGTCTCTGCTCCTCCAGTGTGCAACCCCGTAAATACCCAGCCCTACATGTACTCACACACATACTGGTCCATGTACACACAAGCACACAGAGAAACACACCAGGCTTGGACACAGGTGGACACAGGTACCCACAGACCCGCAGGTACGCAAGCAAGGGCACGTCCCCCCTAGAGACAGGTGTACACACACACACAGGTGCTCAGACATCTGGAAACGTATCTGTGTCTCCCTCCCGCCCCTCCCCACCCCCAAACACACACACTTGAACACCTGGGCGCCGCACGTTGGGCCACCCGGACAGAGCTACACGCAAGGCCGTGCACACGCATCTGTCACACGCGCACATCCCTCCACGTGGACGCGCGGATACACACACCAGGGGCTCCCCGACGCGCACCCCCTACACCCAGGAAAATACCCTGCTCCCGCCCCGGATCGCCTCTGACCACCGCCGCCCCAGCCCCGACCCGCCACGCGCCCCGGACGCGCACACCGCACCGGTCCCTGGGGTGCACGCCCAGGCCTCCCGGGAGCCCTCCATACCCCGCGGTCTCACCCCACATCCCCGCCGCCCGCTCACCTGCTCAGAGGGAGTCTCCGGGCCGCGCCCCGCCCCCGCCCCCACGAAGGCCCCGGCGCCCTGGCTGCGCACCCCCAGGCGGCCCTGGCAGCACAACTTGGAACAAGTTCCTCCGTTTCCTCATTTTGGGCGGGGTGAGGTGGGCTGGGGTGGGGGGAGCCGGAGACTGCGGCCTGGGCGGCCCCCGCGGGTCCTAGCGCCGGCCGCTCGTCCTACGCTCGGCTCCGCGCGCCGCCGGCGGCCCCTCCCGCTGGCCCGGGCGGGGACTGGAGGCGGCCGCCCGCTCCACACCGCTTCCTGGCCTGAAGCCGCGGGGCGCGCACCTCCCCTCCCACCCCGCCCCCATCCCGGAAGGCACAGGCCTTGGAGCTTGGAGCAGGTGCCGCAGCGCGCGGGGAAGGGGGTGCGTGAGTGAGCTGCGTGTCCGGGAGGTAAGCAACTCCGCGACTCCAACGCCCTCCGTCACCTCTTCCGCCTGCGGAGGCCCCTTGAATGAATTACCTGTCGCTGTCAAGGGCTGCTGGTGCCTGGCGCAGAGACAGCGCTCCAAATATGTCCACCGCTGTACCGCGATGGTCGTCATCATCATTACGGGAACATTGGAGCCAGAGGGAAAGATGTCCTGCGGCTCAGAGGCCGCAGGTGGAGCAGCCCCGCTTTGGAGAATCACGGTGGGGCCTGAGGGGCCAACCCGCTGTGCCGGAGGCAGGACTGCCCCTATCCCGGCCTCCACTTCTTCCTCTGTGGGGCCCGGCAGCGCTGACCGCCCTCTCACAGGCCAGCTGGGCGAGCCCTGGATGACCCTGCACCGCGCCTGGCCCCCCTTACCGCTCCTTCTACTGCAGGGGTCCACTTGGAAGAAGCTAATCTTGGGAGAGCGATGAACCAAGACTCCCAGATAACCTGGTCCCCTATTTAACCTCGTTACTCCCAAAGGCTTAGTGCGGCGGTTCTCACCTTGGCTGCACGTTAGAATCACCTGGGCATCTTTTTAAACTCCATTCCCAGGTGATTCTAATGTGCAGCCGAGGTGGCGAACCACCGGCTTAGTGGCTATGCCTCCACGGCATCATGGGGTTTCTGGGAATAGTGGACCGCCGCTGAGAGTCACAGAACATCCATGTTATGGAATATTATGCACAAAAACTAGGAAACTATTAAGGTGCTAAAATCTACCATTGTTGAAAACCACTAGGACCAGGATGTGACAGTGCAAACAGCACGATCCTGTTTATGTCATACAGAGAGGAAAGTTCTAGAAGGAACCCTCCACTGGCAACACCGTTATCCTCAGCGAGGGAAGTGGGCAGGAGGAGAGGGTGGGGGAGGGCCGCTCCTGCCTGGTGGTGTAATTTATTCGCGGTGGTAGTGTTTGCACAGAGGAGCCTCTGAGAACAGTCCTGCTAAGCAGGGCTCCCGGCTCCACAGATCCGGCGATGGGAGAGTCCCAGGGTCTGCCCCACCCCCACCCCCTGCCTCCCAGCCACCAGCACAGGGCTGGGATCCTGCACCTGGCATCCTGTCAGGTGATGAAGACCCACCATATAAGGCAAACCATCATCACTTGCCAGAAATAGAAATGCAACATCGAAATAGCCAAAGCAGAAACCGACAGCATCATTAGATTCTCACCAGAGACTGCTGCTGCGGCCCCAGGCCCCACGGGGGAGGCCTGCCTTCCCTTTGCTCGGCAAGGACAGCATCCAGGATGTTAAGGTGCCCTGGCACCCCTGGAGACTTTCTCCTTGGCACAGTCCGAGAGACAGGAAGAGTATCTGACCGGCTGCCTTTCTCCCTCTGTGAGTGGATACTTAGTGTCTGAGTAATACCTACATCCTCCCCAGGACCCTCAGGGGTCCTTGTCCCATGGTCAGAGGAAGCAAAAGTGTTGAGACAGGGGAAGGATAGACTTAAGGAGACAGTGGCAGGTGCCAAATCTCCTAGGGCTGGCCCGGGGTACAGGGAGCCCCCCAAGGTGTGGACAGGGGCACTGAGCTGTGCCTAACTCTAAGGGTATAAATTTGAGTCCATAGTTTATTTAGGTCAGAACTATTGAAGGGGTGAGCTCCCCATCCCTGGAGGCACCCAAGAATTGGCCACGTTGAATTCCAAAGACGATGGGTCTTCCAATCCCTGGACATGGCAACGCCAGTGTCTCCTGCCTGTTGCCGAGAGCTGGGGGACTCCCCTCCCTTATACCTGCCTGAAGCCCGCTGGTAGCCGCATCCTCGGCTCCGACACCGGAATCTCCCAGTCCCAGGCTCTTCACCCTCCATATTTTAGTCCTGTCAATTCGATTCCCCAGGCCACCCGTCTGGTGCTGGCTGGTGATACAGCAGCTCCTCCCTGGTTTTCGGCTGCCTCTAGTTTTCCTCCTTGCCACCACTCACCTTCCATTCTATCACCAAGGGAGGAAAATGGGACTGTGGCCCTTCCCTGCTTTAAATTCTTCTGTAGCTTCTGCTGCCCGCGGGACTGAGCCTAAAACAGTCTGGCATTCAGGGCTCTTCATGTTTGGCCTCCGGCTACCTCTCTGGACTTATCTGTTTCTGCTCCCACCAAACGCCCAACAGTCTGAAAACTACAGGAATTTGCACACTTTTGCACTGCTGTCCTCTGCCTGGAATGCACTTCCCCCACCCAGCTGGCATCTCCATCTCATCCTTCCATGCTCATCTCAACTGGCACCATTTTGATGAAGCCTTTTCAAACTCACTGCCCTCCCCACACCCACGCCTTTCTCAGAGTAAGACCTCACTTCTGTGCCTGAAAGGACCCCTCCCTGGAGGTCCTAGCTGCCTCCTCTCGCTGTGTGATGGGCATGGGCCTGGCCTGGTGACTGAGCCCATCAGCCTGCCTGAGGAGGAGCCAGCCTGGAGGAAGCAGATCCTAGAGGCAGAGCGAGACGGCATCTCACAGGGAGAATTCAAGTCCCTGGACTCGGCCACACCTGGAGTGCATTCTGTGCCTCGGGTAGGAAGCAAGCGTTTGCTTTTTGGTTGCTCAGGGGGGCATTCCTTCCACTTGCAACCAAATGAATGGCTAATACTGGAAACGGGGCCAGCAGCTCTACAGAGCACCTCACCCCGCCGACCCTTCCCATCTCTCCGGTGGCTCCGTAGGGCTGCCGTGGTCTGATAGACCATGTATCTTACTTGTTCATCTTGTTTACTGACTGCATCCTTTCTAGAACATCAGCTCCCCAGGGCAAAGTCCCCGTGCAGGGCCTTTGGACGGTTCACTGCTGTGACTTCAGTACCTGGCACATAGTAGGTGGTCAGAACATATTTTTTAAGCCAATGAATATTGGGGAGGGGAGAGGATGAGCAGTGCCTGTCACCTGTGAGGCGAGCACTCCCGTACGATGGGAAAGCTGACGCTTAGAGAGTGCTGAGCTTGACCTTAGGTCACAGGAAATGGTAGACGGGGCTTTGGACTCGGCCTGTCCGGCTCCCGGGCTCACCCGCTGGTGTACCGCAGTGTGGGGCACATGATAGACCCCGAGGAGAATGTGTCCGTGTTTATGCTTTCTGGATTTGGAGGGCAGGCGCGGTAGGGCAGCTGCAGCCAGATGTGGGGACGGCTGAGCTGGTGTTGTGGCCCCTGCAGATCCTCAGCTGGAGCATGAAGCCAGATCAGACCGTCCCAATTAGCTCATCTTTAAATTTAGCTTTCCCCTCCCTGCGGGGGACTCAGGGATTCAGCGGAGGAATCTGCTCTTTCGAGGAAAAATGCTGTATCGCTTGCTTTGCACCCAGACCGTGGTCGGCTGGATCATTCTTGACTGGCGGAACGAAGAGCCCCTCCAGGAAACCTGCTGTGGGGTGCCAGAGGCGATCCACCTCTGATGGGGGAGGCGGTCTGCGCAGCCCCCACATCCCTCACCCAGTCTCCCTATGCTGCAGGTGGAGCCAGGCACGTCATTTCCCTGCCGCGCTTGCAGGTTTGCGCTGTGTGAACTGGGTCCAGATCACTTCCCAAGGCACTCACAGTGACCACCCATCATTCAAGACTAAACCACTGTCTCACTTTGTCTTGTCCATAGCCCTCCTGCCTCGCCTCACTCCCCTTGACAGAACATATGCTCCGTGAGCGAGGGCAGAGACAGATCTGGCCTGGGCAATCATTTATCTCTGGAGCCTGGCACACAGTAGGCCCTCACAGAACAAATGAATAGAATCGAATGAAAGAATAAAGACCCAGGAAGAAGAGCAGGGGATCCATACAGTACCACAAGGCAAGACACGTCTGTTGGAGGACTTTTCCCTATGTCCCTGCTTCAGGATTCCTCCTTGATCCTCTTCATCCTCTGTCCCCCAACCTTCATCCTCTAACTCAGTGGTTCTCAATCTTCCCAATGCCGCGACCCTTTAATATGGTTCCTCATGTTGTGGTGACCCCCAATTTCATTGTTACAAATTGAACATAATTAAAGCATAGTGAGTAATCACAAAAACAATATGTAATTATATATGTGTTTTCTGATGGTCTTAGGCGACCCCTGTGAAAGGGTCGTTCGACCCCCAAAGGGGTCGTGACCCACAGGTTGAGAACCGCTGCTCTAACTGAAGAGTTGGCTAAGTGTCTCTGTAAAGGGCCTCGTGATCTCTTGCTGGACTACTCAACTCTGCTTTTGTAGTGCAAAAGCCTCCATTAATAACATGTATGTGAACAGGCATGACTGTTCCAATAAAACTTTATTTATGGAATGCTGAAATTTGAACTTCATATACTTTTCACATGCCATGCAATATTATGGCGATTTTTTTTCAGCCACTGAAAAATGTGAAGACGCATTTTTAGCTTATGGATGCATAGAAACAGACAGTGGCTGGAGTTGCTCCCCTCCAGTCTCTGTCTTTATTTTCTTATAAATAGGCACATTTTAGAATTTATTTGACCTTGTAGGTGTACTTCTTAATCTAAATGTGTGAATACTCATGGCATGTGGTAAGCTCTCAAGTGCTCTCCTAACTATATAAAGCTAGCTGACTCGGCGATGAGCCCCTCAAGGGTACGTATGTTTTCTTCTCATCAGAATTAATAGCAGCAATATCTGTAGTGTTCTGCTGTATACTTACGACTGTGCTAAGCTTATAAAACTGTTTTAAACAAAGCATGTATGTCCCACTCCCGGAGGGCTGCCATTAGCGCTTCTATTGGCTGCTTCTCTGGTCTTTGCTTCCATATTTCAAAATAATGTTTTACATATCTTTTTCTTAAATATTTTTATTTATTTCAGTAAGGAAGGGAGGGGGAGAGACAGGCAGAAACATCAATGAATGAGAAAGAATCATTGATGGGCAGC